AACAGGCACATTAATAAAACAGCAATACCATAATATTTAAAAATATTCAAAACTAATTAAATTATTTGTCCTGTCCTAAAACCCACTATAATAATATAAAATTATACCCAATTTAAAATTTTAGAATTTCAGATTTATGCCAGACCGGCCTCTTGGAACAGATAGGTCTTTAGGGCTCGGCGGAAGAGGCGTATGTCCCGCATTGTACGGAGGTCAGGGGGCAGCTCATTCCATAGGGTAGGAGCTATCAATATGCAACTCTCTACATATGTTCAAATGTGTATAAAAATAAATCAATCAAAGTATTTGTTGCCATGGTATTTGCACTTGTTACATAAAATCTTCGTTTAGTGACATAAATGGTACTGGAAACTCAGTCCTTAAGCAAAGCAGTCACTAAGTGAAAAATCATGCGACTGTGCTTACAATCTTACTTTAGCTTTCCTTTGATTTTCAGACCTGTGAAGGCTGCAAATGCAGGGTTTAGCTACAAAATTACTTTTTTATTCCTATTTAGCTGCAAAATGTCACTGTCCGAGGCAGTAAGGATGACCTGTATACAATACGATCAGCAACATAACAAATTTAACAGCTGTGTTAGAGTTACCATTACATTTTATCAGATAATATTTGAGGAAAATTGTGTGGTAGTGCCGAGAAACAATACCTATGAAACGATGCCATGACAGTACACTACAGGCAGTGGCAAATCACTTCTGAAAAATCTTTACAAAAGAATTGCATGGATTTCCCCAGGCAGTCTCCGAGAATTAAATATGATTGAACAGGAGAAAAAACAAAGCAGAGAGATCTACAGTAAAGTTGTATTTTGTTGTTTTGAATTCAGGATAAAGAGGATAATGGTTTACTATTTAAAAGAATGCAAGTGCAACTTTGAAGACTTTGCAACAGTTGCAAAATGTTTTCAAACATGAAAAATAATGTTTTACCTCTTCACTGTGTTCTCCATCCTTGTAAACAAGATCGTAATTGGAAATTGTATCAGATCGTGGAGGGGTCCAAGAAAGTAATATGCTTGTTTCAGATTCAGGTTCAGCTTTGAAGTTTAGTGGTTGTCCTGGGACTGAAAGAAGAGCACATAAGAGCATTTACTCAAAAAACCCAAACCCTTCAAGGACTCTGCTTATATCTGTATAATTTATATAGACTACACTTTTTAAATACCTCATTTCCTACAGCCAGTACTCTTCTTCATCACTGTGGTTTTCATGCCAGTTCTTTGTACTATCAAAGTATCATTACAGGTAGTCCTTGACTTACGACCACAATTGAGGCCAAAATGTCAATTAAGTAAGACATTTGTTAAGTGAGTTTTGCCCTATTTTACGACCTTTCTTGCCACAGTTGTTAAGTGAATCACTGCAGTTGATAAGTTAGTAACCCAGCTATTAGTCTTTCCCATTGACTTTGCTGGTCAGAAGGTCACAAAAGCTAATCACATGACCTTGGAACACACCAACGGTCATAAATATGAATCCAGTTCCCAAGCATCCAAATTTTGATCACATGATCATAGGGATGCTACAAAGGTCGTAACTTGAAAAATGGTCGTAGGTCACGTTTTTCAGTGTTGTTGTAACTTTGAACGGTCACTAAATGAACTGTTGTAAGTCGAGGACTACCTGTATTTATCTGTCAGAATTGGTTGATATCTATTTATGCTGCCTAGAGAATTGTGGGACTTGGAAATCCACACATCTTAAAGTTGTAGAGGTTGACAAACACTTCTCTAGTCTAGATGACAAGCATAATAATCATCTAGATTTACGTAGCAAGAAATGTCAACTTTCTAGCTATGTAAACTCTCACTTGAGGTAATAGCAAAGGCATGGTTGTGCTAGCTACTGTAACCCTAATCATGGGAATTGGTTTCTGTTTTAATACCATCTTAATTGTGAACTCTTTTATCTGCCAATCATTTCTTAGGAGCACCTTAACCCATTGCTAATGTCTCTCCAGGCATTTTAAAATGTAAAAACTGTATAGCAGATTTTCATAATGACAATAATTATGTATATTAACACTTCATTCTGAAATGTGTAATTTTACAAACCCTAAGAAGCAAATGTATTTGCTTCAATTGTTAAGCAAACCATAACAGTTTTAGACCTCATATCTACATCTAGAAAAAAAAAAGCTGGAATATTTAACATTTTTTCTCTCCAGATCTTACAGCCAAGTAGATTTTAAAATGCATATAGTAGTTTTTTTTATATCAACACACCATTATATCACTGATTAAGTTTAAAATGATGTTACAAGAGTTGCAGTCCTTAAAAGTATTTTTTTTTAGTAGCCATTAGGAAGAATCAACACTGGGACTGTGGCATGGCTGAGGGGAGTAACTTTTTCTTTTGCACTATATTCCTGATTAGAATTGACCTTGCTGGCATAGTTTTACTTGGGAAGGAAGCACTTACTGAATGAACACAGTAGCTTCTTTCAGATCTTTTCTTTTGGTACCCCTATTTTATGTGACTGAATTTATATATGAGATAAATAAAATTTATGTAAATGAATTTCATTACTCCACTTTCTGTTCCGGATATTTTTTTAACTATCTGGAGCAGACATGTCAAACTCGCGATGTCACGTGACGTCGCACGACGTATCAGAGCTTTTTCCCCATTGCCGGCAATGGGGTGAGCATTGTTTCCTCTTGATGAGTCTGGCCCGCGGGCCAGCAATTTGACACCCCTGATCTGGAGGATAGGGACAGGAAGACAAAATCTATTCCATTGATTGATCAATGCAACCTATTTTTTTTTTTAGAATGGAATAAAGTATGTTTGTTTCCTAAAACAAAATGGCTGTAAGGGTGTGCATGGACATTCAACAGATCAGCAGAGAAGTAATTTGCGTGTTTAAAAAGGAAAAGTATGATCAATTATAATACATTAATTGTTGAAAAAATGAAATGAAAAGAAATTCAAACTGAAGCCAAAGATAAAACAATTAGTTTGCAAGACCTAATTCATATAATCTAAAGTAACCAATCAGTTAGGGTGATCTGGGTTAAAATTCCATCTGTTGTAACAATTAGCATGATGACTTGGAGAAACTATGCAACCTAAGTTTCAAAATAGGATGTCAGCTGAGGATAGTAAAAAAACATTAGAAAGAAATTTAAAGTGACTCCACCTTAATTGTCTTGGGTATAGGAGAGAGAAAGGAAAAACGCTGTCCATTCTTTAACTTTCATTATTGTTTATGTGGAATTTGTTTGCTGATGAGGCCTACTTTTAAAGCTAATATCAATTTTGTTTGTAATGGCCACTAGCTTCTCCAAGGTCATTTCTGTGATCCCTTATGGTTATAAAAGTGTTTAAGTTATGGACATCAACTCTGTTAACCAAATAAGTTTAAAATTCAGTAGAGATATATTTTGTCTACAATTGGGTATGGACTATTTTATAGTATTTTAAGCTTTTAATAGTGTATTAAAATATGTTAGTCATGTAATATTTTAGATTTATTAGATATCCGCTTGTATATGACAGCTTATTTTGGGATTTTTATTATCTATACCATCTATTTTAAATATTGTTTTAAATTTCAACTTGAATTAGTATTATTTCTTTTTCCTTTCTTTGTAAATTGTAATACCTAGCTTGTAAAAAAAATAAAATCAAGAAGCAAGTATTTTTGGATTGGCCTATGCAAAGTAATTATTTTTTACTCTACAATTTAGCATAAAGGAGCAGATGAGAAACTGTTTTTATTGTGGAGCAATAATTTTAATGTTTTTGGAATCCCAATTTCCTGCTGGCTATTTTTTAAAAAAATATGTAGAAACTTTTTTTCCTATTAAGGAAATAGAAATATAAAGAAAATGAACAAGCAAAAAGAAGAAATTGATGAAAAGATTCTAAAAAAGTTACAAAAACTGTACAGTTATTCAGTGAACATTAACCTCTTTACAAATTAAAACCTTTTTGAAAGATTAAATAGAAAATAGATTATTTTTAACAATTATAAAAAGGATTTTAAAGATTTTTTTTAATCTCTGAAATAAGTGCCAAAATCTCTGCTACTTTGTTATTAAATGATAGGATAAAAAAGAGAGTAAGAACTACTAAAATATTATAGGCAAATATTTTCTAACTGTCTCTTTGCTATACTCATATTGATATATAATATTTATGAACAATTAAAATGTTCATGTATTCCTGATTTAAATTCTTTGGTCAATTCTTTTCCCCCTTAAAAATCACATATTAAATGCTACATTTACCTTTAAGAAGAATATATTCTTCTTAAATTTGGTCAAATTTCTGTTCGGAATTTATGTTATTAATTTTGCCATTCCTGAATATTCTCCAAACCTAGGTTCCCAATCTGATATAATCAGTAATATCTCTCTTTTTCAATACTGTGAAAAATTTATTTCCACAGTTGTGAACATGTTTCTTAGTAAATGTCTTAATTAATTGTGGTATTTTTCATTGAGATCTCTTGGCATTATGCCTAATTTTGAATTGTGGTTTCATTTGATTTTTAACACTTTCTAAAATAATGCCATGTATTTTTTTTTCTCTATACTTTTTTTGAGGGGGAAGGTTTTGCTTCCCCCCCCCCTCATATCTGCTACATATGGTAAAATGGCCTCATGACATTTCCAGCATTTGTTACTATATCATGTGTCTGTCTTGACAATTACTGACAGAGTTGCATACAAAGTATAAAACAGTTTATACCAGTTTTCCTTTAAGTTATATTTCAGGGTAGAATTTTATAATTTGTTCCATTTATCTTTACAAAAGTATGTAGCAAGTTTTATACATAAAATACCATTGGTCAGTGCTGTAACTTAATTTTTGAAAAAGTTCTATGTCATGGAATAAATTCTGATAGATCTCAGCTGTCAGGAATGTTTGAACTAAATGTATTGAATTTTTGTTTTTTTATGAACATATAATATGCAGCTTTATAAGACTACTTATAATATAGAACCTTAACCACAATATTTTGCTGATTGGCTGATTTTCTTCCCTGTTTTTATTTTTATATTCCTTCCCTGAGTTTGTTGGAGTTAGGCACTATGGTAAATTCTTCACAATGTATGCTGTACTAATCAAAACATTATTATTATTTTTCTTCAAATAAAATTATGTATGTAATTGTTGTAACCAGGGCTTTTTTTCTCAGAGAAAAGGTGGCGGAACTCAAACCTGGCCACGCCCTCATCAAACCCTAGGACCGCCCCTTTAGAGAACAGGAATGCAAGTAAAATTTGGGAGGGGCTATTTCCGGTGCGGGAGGGGCTATTTCTGGTGCGGCCGGCCCGGAAAAAGGTGCCGGAACGCGGTTCCGCCGCGTTCCGGCTGAAAAAAAGCCCTGGTTGTAACCTGGAAAAGCATAAATAGAATGTGTTTAATTATAAGGTTTGAGGAATATGATCTATATTTTTCATTGTGTTGCTTATTTATCTTATATTATTCAGTTAAAGGAATGAAACAAAGAAACTCCCCCAAAGAGGAAAATTTCAACATACCACTACATAATTATGGTGGAAAAAGACAAAATAACAAAACAAAATAAAAGGTCAACCTTTAAAGTATGTTCTTATTTGAAAATATGTGCAAAGGTAAAACAAGACCAACACTAGAGACAAGATTAACACATTAAAAGAAGTGAATACAATCATGGCAACAATTTCTACAGAAAACCTTCTAAAAACAACATAAATGCAAGACCAATGTTTCAGAAAAACTATTAAGAACAAAAAAACTCTGCACTTCAAACATTTGCAAAAATTTCAGAAGGATGCATTAGATATACATTCATAAAATCTAATAATTAATTTGGTGGATTTGATCAGTACAAAGAACTGCCAACATGTCAGGCACAAGCAACCAGAGCCGCCCTAAAATAAACAATTTTATTAACTTCTACCTAAGTTATAAGAATCTCCCCAGACTCCTTGCCTTCCCTTGAGAATGACCAGATAAATCTTCATCTTGGAGGAGCTCAAGCTTAGAGGCTGCTTGCAGCTGTGCAACAATTCCAAGCTGGGTCCCTGCTTGACCCTTCATTGCAGCCTAGCTGGCAAATTCCCAGCATAACCATCTTTAATCGTATTGCCTAGAACAATTCTCAACCCATAGCAAAACTGATTGGAAGAGATACCATAAATTCCCTCTTACCTCCAGTCTGAGTGATGACTTGTATATCACTGGAAAGTGGTCCATCTCCAACTGAGGTAAAAGCAAGTACTTTCACTGAATAAGTTTTCTGTGGTACAAGATTCCCAATGGTGGTGATATGGCTGTCAGCTACATTATGCTTTAACCAGCTGTTGACATGTTGGGAAGGATCCATAGTATAATACACTCTGTAGCCTTGTATTTGACCATTTGGTTCCTCAGGTTCTTCCCACTGCACTAAAATGGTGGTTGAGCTCAACATACGAGCTTGTACATTACGTGGTGCACTAGATGGTGCTTGCTCTGAGGTCCGTGTTGCCACAGGTTCACTGGGTGGACCCCTTCCTATGTTATTCACAGCAACCACTCTGAACTCATATTCGGAATATGGGCTTAAGCCAGCAACACTGTATCTTGTTGTGGCTACTCCATCAATTTCTTTATATAGTTCCTCAGAATTCTTAGGTTTATGCTGGATTATGTAGTAAGACACTGGCTCAGGATTTCCAGAATCCCAGGTCAAAGTAATGCTTGTTGCTGTGCTTTCGGTCACAACAGGAGTTCCTGGAGGTTTGGGCAATGCTAGAAAAATATAATAAAATTTATTCAACCAAATATATATATAACTATAGAACAGAAGCATAAAAATAACTAAGGAAATCCATAATTATTTGGAGAACAGAAAATATCTATTAAAATATGTAAGAAACAAAAATATTTATTTATTTGTTTGTTTAATTTTTATGCCACCCATATCATTCTGCAAAGTGATAAACCTTAAAATATTAAGCATTTACTCAATATTTGCCAGAAAGAAAAACATTAAACTTTTCTAATCTTAAAACACATGTTTAAATGTGTTTTAACAGGCCTCATATACCGAATTTTATAGGAGAGGCGCATATAATAGAGAAGAAGAGGTAGGGCATCAGTGAAGAGGAGGGAATGGAACAAAGTCAGGTTTTAATTTAGTTACACTTAGTTCCTACTTGAATAAATAAACAAGACTTAGATCATAATTAAAATGTGCCATTAATTTCAATGGGTATTAAATGCAACTAGCATGAATCTTTTGACTATTGAAAATAAAAGCCCTTTCAGAATATCTTGCTTTTTCGAAGAATGCATAGTTCTAATTGTGAATATATGGCTGAACTATAGGAAAAGCCCTTAAAACTGGCTGAACAAACTGAGATAAAAGAATCTGGAAAATCCCACAAGAGTGAAGACATGTATATATTAATAGTAAAAATATTTGTTCATAGAATAGAATAGAATAGAATAGAATAGAATAGAATAGAATAGAATAGAATAGAATAGAATAGAGTTTGAAGGGAACTTGGAGGTCTTCTAGTCCAACCCCCTGCTCATGCAGGAAACCCCAATGTCTTCTTAAAATCTTCCAGTGTTGAAGCATTCACAACCTCTGGAAACAAGTTGTTTCACAATTAATTGTTCTAATTAATTGTTTCAGGAATTTTTTTCTTAATTCTAGGTTGCTTCTCTCCTTGTTTATTTTCCATCCATTGCTTCTTGTTCTGCCCTCAGGTGCTTTGGAGAATAGCTTGACTCCCTCTTCTTTGTGGCAACTCCTGAGATATTAAAACACTGCTATGATGTCACCCCTAATCTTTATTTTCATTAAACTAGACATACACAATTCCAGCAATCATTCTTTATATATTTTAGCCTCATGTCCCTGATCATCTCTGTTACTATTCTCTGCACATTTTCTAGAGTCTCAACATCTTTCTTACATCGTGGTGACCAAAACTGGATACAGTGTTCCAAGTGTGGCCTTACCAGGCATTATAAAGTGGCATTAACACTTCATATGATCTTGATTCTATCTCTTTGTTAATGCAGCCTAGAACTGTGTTGGCTTTTTTGGCAGCTGCAGCACACTGCTGTCTCATATTTAAGTGATTGTCCACTAGGACTCCAAGATTCCTCTCACAGTTATTACTATCGAGCGAGGTACCACCTATACTGTGCATTTGGTTTGTCTTGCCTAAATGTAGAACCTTACTTTTTTCACCATGGGATTTCATTTTGTTAGATAGGGTCCAATGTTCAAGTCTGTCAAGATCTTTCTGTATCTTAAGCCTATCTTCTGAAGGGTTGGCTGTTCCTGCCAGCTTGGTGTGATCTGCAAATTTGCTGAGTTCCCCATCTATCCCCTCATCCCCTCACCACTTGTTTATTTGAACTTTGTTCTCCAAGCCAGGGCAGGACTGACCCCATATTTATTAATATTTGCTTAAGTCAGGGATGCAATCCAGCTTGATTAATGGAGGCAGTCCTGAGAAAAAGCCTTCATGGAATCCAGAAGGTCATAATAATATCTGCAATCGTCTGTTTCTAAATAAGGTGATTAAAAATGGTGGTCTTGCAGCTGCGGATATCCTATATCAGGATGAAACTGATTATTCGGACCTCTTTCAATCAGGGTTTGGCCTAAGCATGTTGAGGGTCTGCCTGGGCAGGTTCATAAAAGAAAGGCAGACACTCAACATACCTAAGGATAACTCTAATTAAAAGTACCAGGTCATTATAATACCTGATAAGTCAGCATGTTCATACAGGATGTTCATATAGGATGTAGCAAGTGACCAAGCATTCATAAATAAGACTATGGGGTTTAACTGTTCCTTTTCAACCAGGCTGCAGCCTGTGTTGTGGCTCCGTCCTGTGGGTCCCTATCATCGGAGGAGGAAGGCTCTGAACATGAAGGAGAGGAGATGGCCAGGCCTCCCTCTCCAGGACCTTCCCCTCTGGTGTCTTCTGACGGAGAGGAGATTGGCCAGGAGCCAGGTGTTTCTGGGATCGGCCAGGAGCCAGGTGCTTCTGGGATTGGCCAGGAGCCAGGTGCTTCTGGGATTGGCCAGGAGCCAGGTGTGTCGGACTCTGAGGAGGATACA